ACTTTCCTGCCAATAAAGAGCAACTTTAGTAAACAGAACAAATTATTTTGAAAAAGTTTGGACCCATCATCCCACAAAACTTTACTGGGATGCATTTATGGAGCACACTCTATGTATCAGACATGTATCCATGCTCCTAGGCACCAACCATGCTAAAGCCAGACTCCCCGCTGACAGTATCGGTACCAACTCTGGGACAAACAGCACAGGTTCATAAAATAACATATACTCATAAAATAACACATAAATAACATTTATCTTTAAAAATCTGCATCACACCAGGACTAGAGACACTCTGAATCATATCTGTCTAAAGGTTTTCACCAGTATCTTTGGAAAGAGGAACTGTAAAAAAATATAATTTATTATTGAAGTCCAGCATATCTTAATTTAAAAAAAACTCCCATCATTCCCAGAAACTTCTGCATTTAGAGTACCTTTAATTTTATTATATTTAGATCTGGACCAGGAGGCAGAGATCCTATCTGACTATTTCAGATCAATGTTCTGGCTCCCAGAGGGGGCACACCTGGGTAAGCAGCACCCTTTGAACAATGTTACATTACAAAGACCCAGCCATCTGGGTCTGTTACACCTTCTGTAGACATTTGCATGTAGAAAGTGTATGGACTCATCGGTATCTATCTCAATATTTCTGTACAATACTTATTTAACGTGGAGAATTCAACTTCACAAATGGCATAAAAAAATTGCATCTTTGAGAGTCTTATAATAGAGCTGTTAACATATTAGCAATCTGTTAGCAGTCTGGACTGTCATGAGCAAGAACCTACGCACAGTATGAGCCATCGTTTATTTCGGGGCACACCAAGAATGTACAGCATTTATTTTAATAAACTAAGACATAAAAAGGCCATGTTGAGATGCACCAAATGGGATACTGAGAGACAACAAAAGGATAACTCTTTATAAGGACAGAGGACAGACTGGGAGCCTGCAGTTTGTTTTTAATTATCACAAAGATAGGCAAGCCTTTCTCTTGGTCACTCAGGGAAAAAAAAGTCTCAATCTCTGTGTTACCTTTTCTTAGTGGTGATTGGTTGATGCCATTATTTACAATCCACAGAGATTGTTTTCCAGAGAGATACTCTGTTTGAAACATGGCACCGTATGCTCTTAGCTAGTTGCTAAACACAAAGTTATTTTTATTCCTCTGTGGGGATAGGGAGGTTAGTCTGCATGCACGAATGCGTGATTCCAGGAAGACATTCTATTTACAGTGAATGTGCATGTGCCAGGGTGAAAACTGGGCATTTCCTGCAGAACATCACTGACATCTGATCTCTGACAGTTGATACTGGGAAGGAGAGAATCCCATAATTCAGTTATGCATACGGCACATACAACTCTGTTGTACTTGCAAAAGGATTACATATTTTAAGTGGCTTCCTCCAAACTCCAAATGTGATGGAATTTTTCTAAGAGAATGGCCATCACAGATGAGAAGTGATTTCAGGCATAGTAGCTTGCTCCAGAGGCAGGACCAAAGTAAGAGGCATCAATATTACCAAAATCTGCTGAAAATTGTGGAGCAGAGGGCTCCACTGATTTTCACGCAGGACAAGTAATTTTTCTGTTTGCTTTTCACAGCATTGCAGAAGTAAAAAAGTAAGTTAATTTTTCCCTTTTCTTCTGAATAGTTTCTGTTTTGCAGAAACCCATAATAAGACATTGCCCACAACCATACCTGACTGTTTTCCCAATAATCACCTATTGATTCCATTCTCTCTGATTGATATGAAATTTGGGTGAACTTTAGGATGAGTCATGAAGAGATGGAGCAGGCAGTGGGAATGCTTTGGTTTGCAAACTGGTCTCCATATACACAGAGGGCAAGGGGAGACTGAAGAAAGAGGCAGACCACCCCAGGTTGGTAGATGGCAGTTTTAATAAGCAAAGGTTTGTCTTGAGTGGCAGTAGATGTGTAGACCTCCACACCTGCCCACCAAAACCTTAAAAGTAGATATAGAGGCATTAAAGGAGTTTAATCATATATGCAGTCCAAATGGTGTCAGCGACACCTTACTCTCAAGGTTCCGTCCTGGAAGCAGCTCCAGTGTGGGAAAGCGGGGGAGGATGCATTGTACATTCCAAGGACAGCAGGGTGAAGAAGCTTCTGGCTGCCCAGGTCCAGTCTGAGAGCCAACCACAGTCATGGCCTCCTAATAACCTCCTCCAACAAGTGTTCCAAGTTCACAAGGCATGAGGAAAAGAACGGAGTTTCATAGATGATAAGGGCTAGAGTTCAAGAGTGTACTTGTGAGATTTCAAAATGAGATGCGGGTATCTGGGACTGCCGTCCTACCGAGCTCTGCAGTGACCAGAGAAAGAAATGGTGAGCTCAAAGGGTCCGTCCGCTGGTGAGTAACTTCTGGCCTCCAGCCTTTTTCAGGGAGCTGTTGCATGGAAGGGGCAAATTAATTTCAAAAGCATAAGATACAAAGAACACTTAGTCCATGTAAGAGTGCTAGGGACACAGCTGTGGATAAGGAAACACCATGCTTGTTCATGGAGCTTAAAGTCTCAGTTCTTATTGATGAGGTATTTGTTTCTCCTAAGAAATGCTGTGGTCATAGAGTTGATCACAGTGACAACGATATCAGATTTTGTGCTTGTTTTAAATAAGTCAAATAGAATAGTCGGCAGTAAAGGACTTTATTTTGCTCTTTCACAAATTCATCACGAAACTTTGCTGATCAAACATTTTAGGCAAATGTGTAGATTTTTAGATTGTATAAAGTGATTAATTTTCTGGAACTATATTTAATCTTCTGGAAATAAATTGAGGAGATGACTGTTTTGATTGGCAGGACTAGCTGCTCATTCATCTCTGTTGTCAACATTTCAAAAAAGAAGAAAGGAAGGAAAAGAAAGAAAAGACTCCTAGAGGTACTTTGTAGAAATGTATCTCCTTGCCTTACTGTGGTCAGTAGCTACAGCTTTATTTAACTGTGGCTATTGGCCTAATTAAACCAATTAAACTACCCTTGTAGTTCTTATTTCTCTAGGACAGTGGTCGGCAAACTTCGGCTTGCGAGGCACATGCGGCTCTTTGGCCCCTTGAGTGTGGCTCTTCCACAAAATACCGACTTCTGCGCATGGGCCAAAGAGCCGCATGTGGCTTGCGAGCCCCGGTTTGCCGACCACTGCTCTAGGAAATTCTCTTCACTTTATATTCCACGTTTCTGTAGCATCTTTGCTACTTAGATTACCTTTTTGGCTTGTTTTTTGACTATTTGCACCTTTTGAAACTACTAATATAGTTCCCAGAGATAACCAGAATTTTTATTATAAAAATATAAATCAGAGAAATATGTATCTGTTTTAAAAGCACACAACAAATAAATGTTTTAAAAACACATTTGTTGTTATATTCTATTAGATAATTGTAATCTCTAATTTCAGAATATCAAAAACAATAACTGTTCCTAACATATTAAGTCATGTAGCTTATACAAATAGTGAATTTTGAAACTTGTCAAAATCATTTCTCAATCTTTCTTTCTATTGGAAAAATTGGTGTTAAACCTTTCAGGGAGAAGCATGTAGCCCACACAGGCCCTCTTATATATAGCTGCTTAGCTAGCTTTTCTTTGTTTAGACATCTATGAGAGACGCTACTTTAGAAGGAACTAAGAAGAATAATTTAGCAATTATGTGAGAAAATGGAATTAGTCCAGTGAACCTTGTGAAAAAAAACAACAACAATAAACTTAATTAGAGCCCCAGAAGACAGAAAATAGATATGCCCTGTTACAGTAATATCCCAGCTTTTTTTGTTGTTGTTGTTAAGGTGTAGGTGTTAATAAAAGAGTCTCCACTGAGTGTAGGGACATCCACTTCATTGATAATGGCATTCACACCGGCTACGGGGCACTATGTATGAGGATATCTTGCCATTTACCAGCTGCATAATCTTGGTTAAATTACTTAAGTTCTTTGTACTGAATTAATTAAAAATGGGTGTAATAACAAAATCTACTTCATGGGGTTATTATACAGATTAAATAACTTGATATTGTAAAGCACTAAAACATCAACATTTTAGAAGCACCTCATTGCTGTTGTGCTGTACAAAAGTATTAGAGGCACCAGAATAAAGCAACATAGTGCCTCAGTGCTTAGTGCACACCAGTCTTAATTAAATATTAGGTCCGCACCCCAATTCCCTTTTCCCATATGAGAAAAGAAATGGCATAGGCAATTTTCTTCAAAATGAATGAATGTGCTCTCTGGTTTTCACACTGCCTAGTATGAAGTCCTGACTACTGTGCACTCATGTGATCTTAGGCAAGGACCTTACACCACACTGGGCTTCCTTTTCCTCATTGGTAAAATAATAGGACTTAACACAGGGAGTTTACTGTGAGGGTTAAACAAAATAATGGATGATAAGAGCTTAGCCATTACATTGCCACTATAAATTTCTAATGATGTTGTTTTTATTATTGTTGGTATGTTACAAGTAGACAGTTGAATAAAATATTAAGTTCATGTATGACAGAAGGGTAGCTTTTTTCACCTCAGTTAGAGTGGTTTAGTTGTTTTATGTCCTGCTGAGTTAAAGAATGGTTTCCCAACATTTTTCATTGTTGACACACTTATGAATTTAGTGAATAGTGTGGAAGAACTAAGTAAAATGAATGTAAAAACAATCTAAAAAGTAAGAAATGATTTCTTCCCTGCTCCCTAAGGACTGATATCATTACAGACATACCTCGTTTTATTGCACTTAATAGATGCTGTTTTGATTTTTACAAGTTGAAAGTGAGACCTGCCATGACTTGCTTTTTTGTGATACTCATTTTATTGTGATGGTCTGGAATCAAACCTGCAATATCTCAGAGGTATGCCTGTATATTTAGAAATATACTGGTAAAGGGTATTTAATTACCTAGGTGATTTTCCTACTGGTTGAAACAAGCATTTTTCCATACTATAATATGTATCACAATGAGCTTCTAAAATTTTGCCCTCAGATTACAGAGCTGAAGGAGGAAGAGCTGTGAAGACCAAAATGACATCAGGTAAAGATATTTAAGGCATGCAATGTAGCCGGTAAGGGGGCGGTGGGTGGGGGTGGTGCCTAACAAAATCTGGGCTGGAAAAGAATTTGATTGTTTTACTTTCATGAAAAAATGTGGCTTGAAAAGGAATGGAAAATGTGTCCTCCTTCCTTTACTATTTTTTATTTCAGTATTGAAATATCTCAATTCCCTAGATAATAAAATATAGGCACAGATGGTAGATGACTGTCCACAGGCAATATTGCTTTTCAGCACCATTAGCATTTAAGTTTACACTGAAATAGCAGGTGGGATTTTGGCTGAAGGGCACTGCTAAGTCCTGAAAAATGGAGAAGCGCTTTGAAGAACAGTACCCCACGTTGTACCCCATTATTGAATGATAATGGCAATTACTGTAAGTTAATTCCAAAAATTAAAGAAACACCTCTTTTCTTTCAAGTGTGGCTAGAATATGCAGCATTTTTTCAAAGATGCTCCAAGTCCTTTGTTATTTGCCTCAGGTTGTACATGCACCACTTGCCCGCCCTTCGCAAACTCTGAAGTAGGTCTCTGACATGCAGTCACCGGGATACAACGGTGTGCGTCCACTGCCTAATTGTTCTGTCCTCCAAGCCAAAGTGGAGCAGCCTTCTCTAGTGTCCTGGAGTTCTGAAAATTATATGCTTTATTTTAAAAACACAATGAGAATGTCGCTCTTTCTGTATTTCTCTCCACAGGGAGGCCATTTCATTAAGTTTGCTTTGGTGGATGCTTTGAAATGTCTGGTCATTATAATTCAGTCACCCAAAGCCTTTCACTGAAAAATTCTAGTTATGGAATAATGTTGATGCCATAGCAACAAAATTAGGCAAGCTGTTTTTTCTCATTGGGAAATGGAGTAAATGGGTGTGCAACTGGGAAGAGGGAAAGGGCAAGGGAATGAGCCACACTAGGTCATAGTAACTCATTATGCTGTTGATAATATCTTCTTAGTTATGCAGGGGTTATTAATTTTTATTAAGTACTAAAAGATGGGACATTGAAACTATTGAACTCCAGTTGTTTGGTGAGTGATATAAAAATTAAAAAGTAACTAACCGTTTTAAAAGGCTGACTGTAAGGGAGAAAAAATAATTTCATTCTACTCTTCTGAGTTCTTAGCTGAGACCCCTGTAATAAAAGAAAGAACAACAAAGACAAACAAACAGAAGTATATTATTTTGTAAACCTCCTAATAGGAGATATCCAGGGGGAAATTAGTAACTCCCCGTTGTCTAGAAGAATTTATTATTTAAAACTTTTTTTAAATTAATCCTCACCTGAGGGTATTTTTCCATTGACTTTTAGAGAGAGAGAGAGAGGAAAGGAGGGGGAGAGACAGAGAAAGGAGGGACAGAGAAAGGAACATCGATGTGAGAGAGACACATCAATTGGTTGCCTCCTGCATGTGTCCTGACCAGGGCCAGGGATCAAGCCTGCAACCAAGGTACATGCTCTTGACTAGAATTGAACCTGGGACCCTCCAGTCTGCAGGCCAACCACTCTATCCACCGAGCCAAACCAGCTAGGGCTAGAATTTATTATTAAATAACATCTTAATAGGGAAAGGGAGGAGGAATGTAGGCCTCTTAGGGAAAGAGAGTAAATGATTTTAGGAAAGACTAATGGGCCTTTAGGAGGATAGGTGGGAAGTATAATAGTTTGTGACAGAGTTTTTGTCTAGGTGTGGTGTCAACTTCTAGTCTCTTCTCCTGTGATAAGAGTTAATCTTCTCTGATTGATGAAATTCCAGGGAGGGGATTTATGAGAGTTGAATTCCTTTTGGAGGCTCTGGAGCAGTGATGGCAAACCTATGACACGCGTGTCAGAGGTGACACGCAAACTCATTTTTTGGTTGATTTTTCTTTGTTAAATGGCATTTAAATATATAAAATAAATATCAAAAATATAAATCTTTGTTTTACTATGGTTGCAAATATCAAAAAATTTCTGTATGTGACATGGCACCAGAGTTAAGTTAGGGTTTTTCAAAATGCTGACACGCAGAGCTCAAAAGGTTCGCCATCACTGCTCTAGAGCGTCTTTAGGCAGATAAGGGGAGTTCAGAGAAAACCTATCCCTGTATTTGCTGTTTTTAAAGTATCTACAGCTCAAAGTAATCAATATACCAAAGTGGCATATTTGGGGGTGGCATGTCCTGAATTCCTACAGTTATACTTTGGAGTGGTATATTTTGCTACTCCTCTCTGATCATTGGCAAGATCTTGTGCTTAGGACAGTATTTAATTCCCTTCATTTAATGTTTACAGTCTGTGATGTAGGGTTTTCATGAACATTCAATGGGCTAGTGCCTATAAAATACTTGCAATTAACGGTTTCTGACACATAGTAATTGTGCAACAAATGTAGTATTATTCTTTTTCTTGTTTATTGTTATTATGTGAAACTTGAGCACACATGAGCATACTATATATGGTTATAAATACCTGCAATAGTCACAACAATAAAAAAATTCAAACATATTTGATAATTGCATTTGAAATATAAATAGACTCCAGGGAAGTATTTTTGACCTGGACCCTTCAGTTGTATCCACTTATTATGTACTGATCACTGTGGTTAGAAATAAGAAGACTTTTTTTTTTAAAGTGGTTTTTGACTAGTACATACTAGTAATTAAATTAATTGGGAAGATGCCCTAAGCTTGCAAAAACAATTACAGAATAATAGTTATTGAAGTGTAGCCAAATGCTAAACAATAAGATATAGGCAATATGACTTAAAGTCGAGTTTAGAAAATTTTCCTTGAAAAAATAAAACTTGCTTGGGTCTTCAAGTTTGATGAGAATTTAGGTGATTTCATTTTAAAGAGAAGAAATAAAAAATCGAACTGTAAGCAACTCCCAAAAATTCTTTTACTCCATTGTGAATAGTGGGAGATGAGTTCTTACAGATGCTTAATTCTGTCTAAAAATCATTATATAATTTATTGCCAAAAGTACTCTGCAAATGGATGGCTCATCACACATATAATTTCATACATTTCTGGCTTCCCCATGCTTCTCCTCCTTCACCTCCCACTCCCAACCTCTGTCCTCCCAGCAAAGAAAGATGAAGATGGGATCAAGTACAGATACGGCAAATCAAGTACTACTGTATAGACCTTAGTTTTCTCACTTGTACAATCAGGGTAACAATCAGACGTATCTCACCATTATCAGAAGGATTATATGGCATAATATGTGCAAAAATCTTAAGTGTCTGGAATCCAGTAAAATATTAA